CACTGACACAAAATTGATACTAACACACCCAACAACAGAACATTACCCTGCAATTTACCTTTTGTTCCTGAAACCAGCTCAAGAATTATCCACACTTGGACTAAACTAGCCAGTAAACACAATATTCCTGTCAATGTCAAATTCTCACAAAAACCCGGCCCTAAATTAAAATCGTTGCTAAACAAAAATTTTGTAATATCATGGTATCCATTGCCACTCCATGTAATGTGATGGTGTACAATAACTCTGCATGTGATGATGTTTATAGTGATACTGTGTACAATAACACTCCATGCAATGATGTATACACTGACACACCATGTAATATAATGTTGTATATTCATTTTAAAAGGAATCTATGTAGGACAGCACCTGTTTGTATTATATTGTAACAAAATAACAATTATTTTCTAATACTTAGCATGTGACTTCCCAAGGGGTATGGAAAAGGATTACATTTCTGACCAAGAAGTTAGTGTATCAAGCTTCCGCTCACCATCCACTTTAGGAAACAAAGCTAGGTTAAATGGGAACTCAGCATGGAGTGCTGGGTATCTTTCTACAGATGAGTGGATTCAGGTCAGTGCAGGAACATCCAAAAGTATTTTCAATTTTTGTAGTGATTGATTATCATACAAATGTAAATATTTATGTTTCTAATGCTGAATTGTTTATCAGTTATAAAATTCAAGGCAAGGAGCTTTCTATATTTGAAGGAATATAGTTTGAAGATTTGTTATAAATATAGAATATTGCAGTGTGCTTGTTTTAAAATATTTTCAAATAAATAAATCTTCCTGAAATACACCTAAAATTTAGATAATTCAGTATAAATGTTGTAACCCAGTGCAACAAGAGTTAGTCAATTTTAGTGAAGTTTTTACCATAAGTTTTCTTAACATATGAAGGAGTACATAAGAAATTCAAAAGGTGGACCAAATATTCAATGTTTTTGTAATCTTAGAATGTCCAGTTTGTTGTAATATATTTACAAGGAAGAGAATTAAATTTGTTTTGTAAATTTCAAGACTTGTTACAAAAGTGAGTGTTAGATTTAAGTATAAGTTATCAGTTTGGCATTCACCAAGAGTAAACATGAGTAGTCTACTTCTGTTACATGACTGAAATGCCAGTGTTTAGTTAATGAATTAATTATAGTTCTGATTTGTAGTAAATAAGTGGACTTACAAGAATTACAAGATGTCAGTGGTATAATTACTCAAGGAAATCCCTTGTTTTTGTGGATTCTTCTACAGTAGGTGTCTGTGACTTGTTGACAGTACAAGCAATGATGAATGAACAGCAAGCACTACACTTGTTTCAACATCAACATATATATTATTAATTGAAGATATAGAAATACATGAGCATAGACATAAACCTTATCTTGTCTGCAATCTGCCATTTTTCGGCTCTGCTGGCCCACTTTATATCTCTCATTCCATTTTCAGTTTGCCACCACCCCTTCCTTTAGTTCCCACGTGCCACTCTACACTCTTGACAACAATGAGTCACAAACACAAAATACATCATAAATTAAGATGTAAAAACGAAATAATATGATAATGATCATACAACAAATCAATGATAATATTTTATATCATGACATCCACTTCTGTTACACAACTGAAATGCCAGTGTTTAGTTAGTCATTTATTATAGTTCTGATTTATATTAAATAGGTGGATTTACAAGAATTACAAGATGTCACTGGTGTAATTACACAAGGAAATCCCTTGCAACCAGAGTGGGTAACAGCATACAAGGTCTTTTACAGTAAAGATAGTGTAGCATTTTCAGTATTGAAATCACCAGATGGAAGTGAAAAGGTAACTTTGTTTTATTTTTTTGTAAATTACAATTTAAACCTGTATAGATGTAATTTTATTTACTGAAACAAAAATGCAAGCCCTAAATTTTTTATACTAATAACATCAGTACATAAAAGAACATAATATTTTATTTATAACTGAAATGATGTAGATGCCACTCGCTAAGAAGTTTTACTGGCTTTCAAATTATATTTTAATTAAAAAGTTAGATGGTACACATCAAATAAAAGTTTTTGTCGACAAAGGAATAACTACTGCTTATTTACCTATTCTATAGTAGTATACATATTGTGGTTTCTAATACAGTACTTCCCTCCACTCAGAAGTTTAGCTTTTTCTGTTTTATTCTGCCCTCTATATGTGAACTTTCAGACATCAGACAGAATACCACAGGTATGATAGTAGAGGCTTACCTGGGAGGAGTATCTGTTGTCCAAACTACATTGTATAGTGGTGTGACAGTAACAACAGTTAGTAAGTAGAGGTTCACCTGGGAGGAGCATCTATGATCCAAACCACATTATATGGTTAGGTTTCAGTAATGGCAGAGTCTAACCAGAGGCTCTCCAGGAAGGAACATCTGTGGTCCAAACAACACTGTATGGTGACATGATAGTAACAACAGTCTGTAAGTAGAGGCTCGCATGGGAGAAGCATCTGTGCTCCAAACCACACTGTGTGGTGAAGTGTCAACAGTCTCTGTGTAGAGGATCACCAAACAGGAGAATATGTGGTACAATCCACATTGTATCTTAAAGTGCCGATAAAAACTGTTTCAACCATACAGATAGATGATGTGTCAAAAAATAATTTCTAAGTTAATGTCTGTTTGGTAAAACCTCAAGTATAAATAAAAGAGAAGCACCACAACAACCATCAGGAAAATACACACAGGATGTTTGCACCAAATACAGGTTTGACGAACACTGACTAGTAATATGTTGCTTGGTTTTGAAGGTGAAACTACATCAGTATTTCTACAGATCTTGGAGTCTTGTAAAAGTTTAATATATATATATATTTGCATTTAAATTTCTAGAGAACAGAAAAGTCACAAAGCTAAACTAATGTTTGAAGTTTCTACAGTTAAAATACTCTATCTTTGGCATCTCATCTATAATGGTGTTTGCCATATATATTAAAAGGTACTCTAACAGTATTTTAAAAAGTTAGCTTTACCACTTAAAATAGCATTGAAGTGTATTCATGGTTGAAAACACTTTCTTAAGTTTTGAAAGTTAATCATTCAAAAGTTATGGCAAAGTAGAATTTTACTGAAAAATAAGTGTCTGAAACCTGTTGTCTGTATTCTTATTGCAAAAATTAGTACAGATTAATTTTTCAACTTTACAAAAACATTTGCCAAGAAATATTGAAATTAGACTTTGCTTTTCTGCCCTCTTCCTGAAGGAGTTGAAATCTATTCATATTAGGGTATGGTGTAGTAACCTTGAAATTACTAAGTTCTTCTTATGTCATTCACCAACAGTGAGGTCCACATATAGCATTATATTGGACAGTTTTATATTTTTCTTTGTCACAATACTTAGTGTAAGGAACTGACAGAAACAGCTGGGTGGAATCACTCACTCATTTACAATGTAAAATATACAATAGATCCCATCAATGATTATTGGGATTACCTGCTATTTATTATGTAAAATATACTGTAGATCCCAGCAACAATTAGTGGTATAACTCGCAATTTATTGTATAAAATATACATTAGATTCGAGCAACGATTAGTGGGATTATCAGCAATTTTTTATATAAAATATACATTAAATCCCAGCAATGATTAGTGGGATTATCATCAATTTACTATATAAACTATGCAGTAGATCCATTGAACAATTACTGGGATTATCAGCAATTTACTATATAAACTATGCAGTAGATCCATTCAACAATTACTGGGATTACCTGCAATTTTTTGTATAAAATATATATTATATCCGAGCAATGATTAGTGAGATTACCTGCAAGTTTTTACATAAAGTATACAGTAGATCACAACAATGAATAGTGAGATTACCTTCAAATTACCATGTAAAATATACAGTAGATCTCAGCAACAATTAGTGGGATTACCTTCAATTTCTACTATGAAAAAATATCGTGTATCCCAGTAATGATTCACATGATTACCTGGAATTTACTATGTAAAATATACAGTACATGTCAGCAATGATTAGTGGCATTACCTGCAGTTTACTATGTAAAATATACAGTAGATCTCAGCAACAATTAGTGGTATTACCTGGAATTTACTATGTAAAATATATAGTACATCCCAGCAATGATTAGTGAGATTACCTGGAATTTACTATGTAAAATATATAGTAGATCCCAGCAATGGTTAGTGGGATTACCTGCAATTTACTATGTAAAATATACAGTAGATCCCAGCAATGTTTAGTGGGATTACCTGCAATTTCTTTTTGTGTAATGCATATATCATGAAGAACCTTGTAACGAACAACGTCATGAACAGAAAAGCAATTTGTGTATAAACTGTTTAGAAAGATGCGTTTAAGAAACTGATCAGTATTCTAGCTTTAATAATTTTGTTGACACTTTGCAATTGTATGTTACCAAATAGAATTAGTGGTGTCTTGAACAAGTGTTTTTGTGGATTATCTTTTATATTTTCTTATTTTTTATTTATTTATTTATTCCTCTAAGTATGATATTCAAATAACCACACATTTGAATGAAAGTGTTATTTTCATCTGTTTAACATATTGTTTAAAATGTTCTACACATAGAGTTAGGGGTTTTAGTAAACTGAACTTACAAAAGGTTACACTAAAACTGTTACATGTGCTTTCCTTGCAGGTTTCCCTTCTATGATCATCTTAACAAAATAGTATAAAAATTTATGGTTTAATATTTTCCACAGGTTTTCACTGGAAATAGTGACCAGAATACACCAATTACAAACAAGTTTGATAAACCTCTGAAAGTCCGTTTTGTACGAATTGTACCCTTTCAGTGGAAAGGTTGGATAAGTTTACGATTAGAAATTCTTGGCTGTAATAGAGAAAGTAAGTAGTGTAAGAAGTACTTACATTATATATATATATATATGTGCATAGTATAGCCAAAGCTGGTAATAGTTTGACATAATAGAACATGTTTTGCCATGCTTTTCCTTTCATTTGATCACATTTGGCTTGGAAAGTCTAAGTAAAGTTTATTTTTTGTAATAAATGGATTATTTATAGTACATGGCATGTTTTAAATTACAGAAGCAAAACTTGACATAAGCATTATAATAGAATACGTTTCTCTTTATTAAATAACTAAATATTTATATCACAAAAGAAGGAGATATTGTGTTAATTAAGATACAAAATAAATCTTGAAGAGAGAAACAGAAAGTAGTATAGCCGAGTGCCATGATATAATTCTAGTTATTTTCATGCAGATCTTAGAAACATATTTTGAAATCTGAATCCATCTACTTGTGAAACCATTTTTCTAAAAGGTAAATGTTATTAGTTCTGAATGTTAAATGATAAAAACCCAATAATCAGAGTGCTTTTCAAAGGTGGACCTTTCTTTTTCACGGATAAACTGTCTACTCTTCAAGAAGAAAGGTCCACCTTTCAAAAGCTCTTGGATTGTAGAGTTTTTATTGTTTATATTAAGACTTCTTGAACCTATGTGTTTATCTGACATCATGATTATTTTTGAACAAACACTTAAGTACATTATCTTTCAGTAATCTATACAGGTTTAAATTATGGGAAATTCCTTTCTTTTTAGTTCCTGTTGTTACTACGACTATGCCTTCTTGTGTCCCTGGTTGGACTCAGTACTTCAATATTGATAGTCCCAAATCTGGTGATGGAGACATCGAACTCTTTAAAGATATTCGTAACAAGTATGATCTCTGTGATGACAGCTTGATTCAAAAGATTGAGTGTAGGTCATTTGTGAATGGTCAAATGGTGGATCATACTGAAACTGGAGATGTTGGGATTAAGTGTTCTATAAGGAAGGGTCTTGTATGTCTCAACTGGCTACAGAAAAAAGGAAAGTCTTGTCACGACTACAGCATTAGAGTTTATTGTGGTTGTGGTAAGTATTTACTAAAGTGTATTGCAGGATTGAAATAATATTTGAAATTTAATGCTAAGTTCCAAAATATAAGAGAAAGAGATATTAGTAATGTTTGTAAATTGAATGTTGAATGTTTAGGGTATTTTTTATCACTCCCTCTGCTGGCAGAAGTTTATTGTCTGTTTTATTGGCCACTTTTTCTACTATGAATTTCTGCCATTGTTTCCATATTAGATATGGAAAAGATATTCAGAAGATGGATAATCACTGCCTGTACTGACAGAAGTCTACCACCTGTTTAGTTGTTTATTCCTTTACTATAAAATTCTCTCTTCACTTCTATACTAGGTATAGAAAAGACAGTCATAAGATAGATGATTGGTTCTGCAGTAAAGTTTTACAAGGACAATAAATGTAAAATAGATTAATAACCATGTTTGTGGTTCAACACCAGCTGTTACAACCAATGCTATGATAATGAAAATAATGTAGATGAGAATGAACAGCATTAAATTAAAAAGAGCTAAGCATAGCTCTTGATAGCCTTCTTTCAGCTGTGTTAATGGTCTTGCAATTTCACTACTACCCATTTTTGTGTGAATTTTGCTAAACGAAATATGTATTTACTGGCAGAGACCAAAATAAAAGCACCCTTAAACAATATATATGGAATTTATACTTGCTAAGAAGTTCAGATCTCTTATCACTTATAATTTAGTTTGTGATGAGCTTTTCTCTTATTACTCTCTAAGTTTAAAATATGAATAATCAAAACAATAATATTAAGCTAAATAACTTGAACAAAGGTCAGATGTAAAACCTTTATGATTTGCTGTATTTTTATATAAAGCTTCTTATTCACTCTTTTTAGAATATAACAATAGTTTAAACTGTAATACAGACATTTTGACAAATAGAATGCAGTGATTGAACAGAAACTATTTAAAAGATAGCTAGTAAGACAGAGTGTGGTACATTTACTTGTGCTTTTATTTTTTTATTTATCTTAATTTTTCCAAGCTGCATGCAAGTTTAGTGTTATACTGCAGATACTTTGATCCATAAAATAAATGTTCCTTATAGAAAACCCAGGTTATCTTACAAAGGATAAAAATGCAACAAAATCTTTATAAATTGACATCTGTGATGGGAGACTGCTATAGAAGATCAACAGATTTGGTCAAACAGGAAATTAAGAAATCAAAACGATATATAAAAAAAGGGTTGACTAAAAAATTTGAAATTAACAGTAAGGATTTCTTTAAATACATTAATGGTAATCAAAATAATAGGATAAGAGTAGGGCCTTTGAGGGATGATAAAGAGAGGCTCATATCTGATGATGATGAGTGATTGAGTTATTAAATTGTACTTATTCAACAAATATTACTAATTAAAATTTAAGCAATATTTCACATCCCAAACAGATATTACATGGGAATAACATAGTAGCATTAATTTTTATCTTGTTAAAAACATTAGAAGTCTAAAAAATGATTGATTCCAGAGCAAGATCACATTTTCTCAAGGTTTGGAAAATGTGAGCCACTTTTTATTGCTATTTTTTGTAAATGTTTAAATAGTGTGTTAGGTGTCAGATCACCTCAAAAGAGGTGGTAAAATATTATCCAAGTAATTATAGGCCTATTAGGCCTACATCAGTGGTGGAAAAGTATTTTGAATGTCTGATAAAAAATGCTTTGCAGAGTCATTTAACAAAAGCTTTTAAATTTCACTGTATAGCCAACATGGTGTCACTAGCAGAAAATCTGACTTACCTGATTTTTTGACATTCTTTGAAGAGGTTACTGTTTACACTGATGAGTGTTCAAGAATATGGGTCTTCAGAAAGTAGTTGATAAAGTGCCACATAAAAAGGTTGGTGTAGGTGGATAGGTTAGCTGATTGGATAGAAAAGAGTCTGGATGAGAAAAAGCAGAGGGTTATATAAATAGAGTTCACTCAAACAGGATAACATTACAAGTGGAGTACCTCAGGGGTCAGTGTTAGGACTTTTGTTCTTTTTTGATTTACATTAATGACATAGATGAAGTAATAGTCAATTAGTTACATAAATTTGCTGATAACATTAAAGTTTTGGGTGTTGTTAGCTATGAGGCAGATGCTACTGCCTTACAAAAAGATTTGGACCATTTGGTTAGTTATGCAAATAAATAGCAAATGGCTTTTGATTATGATAAATCCAAGGTAATGCATGTGAAATATCACAAGATGAATTTTGAGTATAGTTTTGATGTGAATAACATCTACAGTATTATGTAAGAAAAGATCTTGGTTTACTGGTTGATCAGTCTCTTAAGCCATTCAAATTCGATGACGAGGAACCCACTTTGAGACTAATAATGGCTGGAGACGGCTTGAATGGGTAATGAAGAAAAACTTTAATATAAAATGTGTTCCTCGTCATCAAATTTGAATTCATCACGGCGATTAATCGAGGT